TTCGCAACAATCATGATCTCTCTAATCTTTCTCCTGCTGATCCACCATTTAGTCATTCTGAGATTCTGGATGTCATTCAAAGAGCCAAGGGCAGAAAAGCACCCGGACCTGATAACATTACTGCTGACATAATTAGAGCTCTGTGGCAAAGGCATCCTGACCTCCTCTTTCACCTTTACAATCTCTGCTTGAGCCATGGTGTTTTCCCGATTGCTTGGAAAAGGGCTCAGTTTGCCCTGATTCCTAAGGATAAATCTCTGCCGCCAACCACTAGCAACCTTCGCAACATCTCACTTCTGTCTGAACTGGGTAAAGTCCTTGACAAACTTTTGTGTAACAGACTTACTTGGCATTTGGAGTCTACCGGATATCTTCACCCTTCTCAATTTGGTTTTAGAAGACAGCGTGGCACTGTTGATGCTCTGATGGCCCTTACATCCAAAGTACGTGAACTCCTTTCATCATTTAAATATGTTCTGGGAATTAGTCTCGACCTGGAGAATGCTTTTAATTCTGCCTGGTGGCCTCTTATTCTACACAGGCTGCAAGGGAGCAGGTGTCCAGCTAATCTCTATCAGCTAACCAGGGATTTCCTATCCAACAGGGAGGCCATCTTAAGGTCAGGTACTAACACTTTTTCCCATCATTTGGAGCGTGGCTGCCCTCAGGGTTCTGCTTGTGGCCCTCTCCTATGGTGTATCCTTTTCAACGACTTTCTTTACAGTGACTTTGGCGAGCATGTTAGTGCTCTGGCTTATGCTGATGATGCTTTTCTCCTTATTCCTGGAGACTCGAGGCGTGATCTCGAGACTAGGGCTACTGCTGTCCTTACTGTGGTCAGTGAGTGGGGCAGTTGTAATAAGCTACGGTTTAATTCCAACAAGACCAAAGGCATCGTCTTCACTAAACCTTACTCTCCACATCTTTACTCTCGAACTCCATGCATTAAGATGCAGGGTCGATCCATTCACATTGTCTCTTACTTGAGGTTCCTTGGTGTTGTCCTGGAGCATAAACTGTCTTGGGGTCTCCACATCCATCACATTACTGATAGAACTACTCTTATATTTAATAACTTACAAAGGATTGCTAAGAAACACTGGGGGCTTAATTATGCTGCTCTAAACTGTATTTACAATGCGGTCTTCATTCCCATTATCTCATATGCTGTGGCTGTCTGGGAAAGCGGTGTCTTTCTCAGTCACAATTACCGCCGTCTTCAATCTGCTCAGCGTAGGGCCCTTCTCAGGCTCACAAGAGCATATTCTACTGCCTCGAATTATTCTCTTCAGGTTATCAGTAGGAAGGTACCTCTGGATCTTCACTTGAGGCACATTGCTTGTACTTATCATATTAGGAAAGGCCATGACATCAATATGAACTCTATCTCCTATGCTGAAGGCACCTATGAGACAGATATACCATTTACCAACCTTCCTCATCCAGCGGTGAGAAGTGGGTTTGACACATCCTTTACAGTTGCTGCTGATTATATAATCTTCACAGATGGATCAAAGAATGCAGAGGGCACGGGCTCGGCCTTCGTCGTTTTTGCCAATGAGGAGGAAATATATCAAAATTCTGACACTCTTCATCCTAACTGCTCTATATTCCAGGCAGAACTCTGTGCCATTTACATGGCTGTTCAATGGTGTGAAGCCAATCTTACTGGAAGTAGAGTTACAATTTGCTCTGATAGTGCTTCAGCAATCAACGCACTTAGGAATCTCAACAACCTACACCCTCTGGTTAGGAAGATTCTAAACTATATACCTTGTGCTCAGAACTCCTATTCCCTCGAATGGGTGAGAGGTCATCAGGGTGTCCTAGGTAATGAACGTGCAGATCTACTTGCCAGGGAGGCTGCAACGATCGGTACCTCTGGCCCTTTCAATTATTCAGTGCTACCTGCTTCTTTTCTTAAGCTCCAGCATTGGAACTACAGCTTGGATCTCTGGCAGCAGAGATGGGATAGTTACAATGGCCTTGCCAGGAACTTTTTTCCATCTATTCATGACCACCTTTCTAACCACTGGGTTAGTCCGGACTATGAAACCACGCAATTCTTCACTGGGCATGGGAGATTCCGGGCCTACTTACAGAGGTTCGGCAAATCTACAACGGACATCTGTACCATCTGTAATTGCCGTGATGGGGTTGAGCACTATGTATACATGTGTCCAATGACCGAGGATGCTAGGCATGAGCTTGCCCTTGCTCTTAGCCACAGGGGAATTAACTGGCCATGTGAACTTCATGTCCTTCTTAAGGATAGTGACACCTACAAAGCATTCAAAAAATTGATTCATATGTATCACATACGCTCTGTCATTCACTAAGTTAGTCAAGTCAGTCATCAGGCATTATTTTCATTTGCTTCTTGCACATTATTGTATATACATATCATTATTGTTCTGCTGCAGCATATATCTGTATAATATTTATTATTACTATTAGTATTGTCTATTTTAATTTACCGTACATGTTATTCTACTCTCACGTTTTGTATAATATCGGTTGATTTATATTGGTCATCTTACCATCTGTTCATACTTTTCAATTGTCATACTGTTTGTACGTTATCTGTCTGTTATTATGTATGTATTTACCTGTGCTTTGACATATCTCTGTAATTAACCCGATTATGCTCTTGCGGTATCGGGAATAAATAAAGATAAAGATAAAGTAAAGTAAAGTAAAGTCTATGAGGACTAAGTATTTTATAGAATCGAAAAACAATAGCATGGTTCCAGTTTGTCTGAATACGTTGAAAAGTGTGCTCAATATTTCGAGGTTTGAATTAACGGCATTTTGAAACGTTTCCGGAAAACAGTGCAGCTTTGCAAGGAAAATAGGTGGTGACAGAATTTCCGTTAAAAATGTGGCAAAGAAAGAAAATGTTATGCGTTTTATAAATAGTTTTAAATGTTCAGAACCTCGCTATTGTCCCAAACACACAGGTAGGAAGTATATTCCTGCAGAATTTAGTGTAAAGAAAATGTGGAAAATTTACAATACAATACTAGTAATTTAAGTATTACTAGTACAGACAGTACTAGTAATTTAAGAGTTTCATATTGGTACTTTAGATGTATTTTCAACAAAATGTATAATCTAGACTTTGGTTTCCTAAGAGTCGACGTTTGTTCTACTTTTCAAGTACATGAAAAAAATAAAATGTATGATCTCAGAACAAGAAAAGCAAAAGCTTATGACAGAAAAATGTATTCATAAGTTGCGAGCTAAGGCTTTTTACACAGCACTACAGAGCACTGACCCTAAAATTCTGACTTTAACTTATGACTGTCAGAATAATTTGCCATTGCCAAAACTGCCCGGCCAAGCTACCTACTATAGTAGACACATTTATCTAAACAATTTCACTGTGGTAAGGGGAAATTCAAAAGTAAATTGACCCCTAATAATGTGAAACTTATATTTGGATTGAAAATAAGTTTTCGAAAGGCTCAAAGAGATTTCTTCATGCATTTTCAACGTGTTAATGACATCAACAATAAAAGAGCCTTTGGAGACAGTTCACTTAGTGTGTGATGGATATAGTGGCCAGAAAAAAATCCAATTGTTCTGTCCATGGCTTGTTTCTGGCTATCAAAACATGCACTTAGAAACATAAAAAACACGAAGTTTTTTCCCCTATCACAGGGCACAGCTTTCTCCCGCCAGATGGGGTGTTTGGGATTACAGGAAAAGCAATAAGGAAGAAAGAATTCATTTACCATCCTTCAGAGTACATAGACATTATAAAGAAACATTCAAAAGTAATGAAAGTGAGAGAAAACTGTCAGTTTCTCGATTGGAAAAGAGAATGCCTTCATAGCTGGTTTCTTTATAAAGGCATCTCCTTTATGAAGAAACCAGCTCAATTTCAGTTTCAGCTTGTAGCATGTAGAAGAATAATTCTGAAAAGAACTCGAACAAAAAAAGGTACTTTTTAGAGAATACACTTATAGATCTAACCAAGTAATTTACAAGTCCCTAACAAAGCAAGGAATGCTAATGTTCAATATGAATCCACCTGTTATCCTTAAATCAAACACAATAAAACAAGCAAAGAAGGATGATGTAAATAATTTATTGAACAAACACTATGGCGATCAGTGGAGAGAGAATGAAGATTTTCTTTTTTACACAAATATCATTGATGGGGCTTCTAATGACCATGAAGAAGATGTGCCAACTTTTGAACCTATTGAAGAAGTAAGTTACGTTAATGTTTGAAATATTACACTAGGTTTTCCACTATCTGTAATTAATAAAGATTGTGTGCAGTTTGATTTTTGGTGTTTATTATCCCTCCAATAAAATAATGTTAAGATTCATTTTTCTTAGTTCTTGCTGTTTTCGATTATGTTAACTGTTTTGATTCATAACTAACATTCTCCATATAAGTTTGTTGCAAAACTCACATTTAACCAGAATTCGCTGCAAAACTCACACTGTCCATATTTTAAAGTTAAACTCTAGTTAACGTGTGCAATAGTTTCTATGCCAACAAAGATATAAAAAAATTGTTATAATATATCATGTGTTTCAACAATAAATAGATTTTTGCGTTTCTCCGAAAGTCTTAAAAAGTGAAGATTATGACTTTTGCATCTACACTCCTCATTTTATCTAATAATTACTTTTATTATATATACAGGATAATTGAGTAAATACAAGTACTGTAAATAATTAACAGGTATAATTAAACGAATTATTGATTATAGAAAAAATTCTAGTTTATAGTTTTAAAAAATTTCAAAGAATTATCATAGTTTTATTTATAAGAATTGCTTTGTATGAAATATAATAAATTTTTATTGTTTTAAAGTTTTATAAACAAATAAATTAATTTATAATGTCGAAATGGTTAGCCTAAATAAATTTTCATAAAAGTTTAAAATTATATATTTTGATATTTAAAGTATGCAAATTAAATTACAAAATTATGATTTAATTGCAAATATATATATATATATATATAAACTATTTATTCTAGGTAACTTGTTTTATAATTGTCAACAGTCAGCTAATCTCGTGGTGCATAACCTATTCAACTTGTAAAGAAAATGAATGTTGCAGAGGATTTCAATGCAAACCTATGGGCGATAAAGGTGATTTAATTATATATAAACAATTTAAATTATTTTAAATTTATTACATAATATTAATAAATCAGCATAAGTTAATTGTAACGCCTACTATGATGAATTCAAGATCGAATCCTATCTGGATTCACTATATATATTATACTTGTCACAGACTATATAGTGTGTGATAATTATTTACAATTATCATTACGTGAAAATCGTAGCTTTAAATCGAGACGATTTCAATTATTTCGGAATACCACAGCATTTAATATTATAACTTCACTCTTCAAGCATCTGCCCAAATTTTTTCGAGAATAGGAAACTCACGTTCGTTTGTCATATGCGTCACGTTTTTAATACTTGTTTTTTATTTTTTAATAAATATTTTGCTTTTGAACATAATTTTTGACTTTAAAAAGAGCATGGACTTAATTACTACAATATTCGGAAATTTTAAGAATAAAACAAATAGGCAATCAATCATACTGTACATCTTTGAATTGCTTATATGCAGTATGTAGTTAATTAAATTTTTAACGTTATCACTATCGATTTAATGTTAAAATGAACTTTTCACATAAAAAATATACACAAGGAAACTTACTACAATATTTATATAAATAGTTCATTCTAATATTTTATATTAGAATGAGGTCGGTCATCATCTATTTCGGTATTGAAGTAAGCCGAGTTTTCTTCTGAGATACAAAAAATTATTAAATTTATTTCACGAATAGAATTATTATTTTAAATTTGATTGCAAATAATATTTTTAGGGGTTATTATAATTAAAACATTAACATTTAAAGTAGAATTTAAACATTGATCGTCTTGTAATGGCAATCCATAAAATTGCTACGTACAATAAAATTATAAAAAATTCATTTCAATCACAAAATGCACTTTAAAAAATTGATATTTTAATTTTAATTATAAATAATTTTTAACTTTAAATGTTGGCATTTGAATTATGTAGCGATTGATAATTATTAAGAAGTAGATACGATTATTAATATATGAAGGAATGAATTATGTAATCAAATGATTGATGAAAGAAATAAAATATAAATCTTTATATAATATTATGAACAAATAAAGTTTTAATAAATTTTAATCTTTTTAATATTTTATAAGAGTTTGCCTTGTCAAAATAATTGAAATTTATAATATTTACGAATAGCAGAACGATTTCCTTTAAAATGACGAAAAAAGCTCTGAAACTCATTTTTTGAAGTTAACAATATAATGAAGCAAACCATTAAAACTTATAAAAACAAAATGTCAAGTTTTTTCTTAATATACAAGAAATACAATAAAATTATTCATTTTTTGACAAAGTTCTGAGGTTCCCGAAAGAAAATTCATGTTATTTATGAAATAAATGTAGTAATTCATAACAATGTAATTTAACTACAAATTTACAACGAATAAAATCGGATTAATTTATAATTGAAATAAATCATCATAACTTTTAATGTAAAATATCGAAACGAGCTATTCTGAATAGTATATTAATTTTATATAAATATACAAAGCATGTTTCAATAATCAAGAACAACATCAACAAGCAATATTGTAAGAACATTAAGAAATATTTTCTGCAAAGTTTTTCATAAAGCCGTAAATGAAATCTATTTCATCTGGAATTACATTCTCCATAGTTTCCTTTGTTGTGGAGTGTGCAGCAGTTATTAATTAAAAAAACAAATATACTGCACAATAAAAAAGCAAAATTAATGATATCGAAAAGAATTTATCATCAAAACATTATTATAAATTACGAACAGTCCCCCATTGTTTTAATCCTTTCGTTCTATAATCAATAATAATCATCATATTTACAAATTATTATTTATTTTTTCTGTTAATAATAATCACAATTTTTATATAATTTTATAAACGTTTATTTAATTTAATCTTTAGATTCCCCTTGCTCACCAATAAACTCCACGTATGGCTTTTATTTCACAAACTGTCCTTGTTCCAGTGGTTTGTCATGTAGAGTTTCGGTAAGTATAGAAATTTTAATAGGAATATCTCTCATTTAATATTATTAAAATTTGTAAAATCGAAATAAATAAATTTAGCATTCTATATTTTACTTTAATACAAGTATTTCTCCATAAGTTTTCATACACTGTATTCTAAAGGTTAATTCACAGCTCAGAGTTGTCTTAGCTTACAAGAGATTACGACTTGGTCCACAGAGATTTCAATAATACCGTTTGTATGGATAAGCCTTGGTATGAACTTTTATTGAGCAATAAGAGAAAGCGTGCTTCTCAAACATGTTCAAGAAAATCAAAGTAAAAAGAAATTGGAATGACTTAAGAATAAGTTTTGAGGAAAATTTCATCGAAGACCGCGTGGCTTGCCGACTCCGTGCTTGATATTAGGCGAATGAACACGGGTATCGATCCTCATGGAGCAGAGGGGAACAGTGGCAGCATGTGAAGTATAATATGAGATGCTTTGGGGAGGGCGCGCAGTGCGCAATCCTAATAAATTCGTTTTTATTTTGTATAATGTCTTGATCGGCGCTGGTTTTAATAAAATATTAATTTGAACTTTAAAATTAATCAAAACCGGCGCCGATCAAAACATTACACAAAATCAAAATGATTTTATAGGGTTTCGTGCCGCGCGCCCTCCTGTAAAGCATAGCCATATTAGACGTCACAATCAGCCACTAAAAGGAATATACCCCCAATATTTTTGTATCAGCAAATTCTCCCCTTTCCCTATTGTTATTTTATACCATACATAAAAATTAAAAATACAAACGAGTACTGAACACAACAAATACGCCTTATTTTGTATATCCACCCAAAACTCGACAACTTGAACATTTTCTTTACTTATTGTTATTGGGCCTTCTCCCAATATTTATACAGATCGACTTCGATGCGGATGCCAACTTAGGAATTTATTCCTTAAGTTGGAGGAAATCAGCAGGCTGGGAAATTTAGGGAGAGAAATAGTTTTGGGGGAAAATATAAAGTCTGTCCATATTGGTTAGTGGAGTTTCAGCGACGTGTAGGAGCTTCCAAGTCACACGACTTATCATTCTTCCTGCGCGAAAATCGCGAGGCAATATCCGGAGCAGGCCGATTGATTAACATGATGCTTTTGCTTAGAGGTGGCCACGCCGTCTGCTCCCTAAAAAGAAAATTTGTTTTACTGGATTGTCAAAAGATTAATATTTTTTACATGCATTACAACTGGAGAAAACCTAGGGAAAACTTGTTTCAGTTTTGGTTTTATTAAATTAAAATATGATAATGATGAAATGCATTAAATTACTTTCATCTTGAATAATTAATAAAATATCTGCTGTATACAGTACTTGACAACATTGAATCAACTAAAACACAGTTCACAGAATCAATATTTTGCTATTAAGTTACTTCCTACGTTTCCTAATTTTTTTAAAATTAATATTTAATTCTTCGCAGCTGAGCAACAGAGACATAATATAAATCCTCCTATACAAAATTAGAGAACCATCGACAAATTAATGTCTTTCTTCATTTTGTAATTCTAAGAGATATAGTTTTTATGCTTAAAAATAAAGTCAATTTTAGAATTTATTATTAATAAAAAATATCTTTCACTTAAACAACAATATTAACGTAATATTAAAATATTTATATTAATATTTTCTTTGTTTCTAATTTCAGTTGAGAGGTTTTCGATGTGCATAAAGAAAAGCAACTTTTATTTAATCGACTGCTGTGATCAACGTAAATATTTATAACCTAAATTNGTGAAGTTACACAGATAAAACTACTTATATATAAAGTAGTTTTGCTTCTTGAAACAATTATCAATAATTTAATATAAGAAACGAAACAGTTTTGAAATCTTCTTACGTATAAAAAGTCAATGGAGAATACGGAAATAGTCTTGGGAGTACTTTATATAAATTAAAGACAAAGTATGAATATCTAAAACTGACTTCATATATTATTAAGATATGTAAATTAATAAATAGTCCTGTCATACATATTTCAGCTAAGTTTTTGTGGACATTCACATTGAGAACTCATTATTTAGAAATGTAAAATATTTTGGAAGGAGGTTGAACATTTCACTTAGCTATTTAAATCGAAAGGTTTAATTTAAAGATTCACAATTTACGGAAACTCAACCTTTCTCCGCAAACTTTGTATAACACCAATCAAACAATTAATCAGTATTGCTACTATTGAAAAAAATAAAATTCATACTTTTATATGACCTTACCCTATTTAACTGAATCTGAAAAAGTTTTACAGTGTACTACAAGAAACATTTGATCAGAATACAAATACCGACGAAATGGACACTGAGTGACAGTAGAAGAATAATTGTAATAATTATCAACATTCAAATGTCTGTATGTGTAAAATATATACACGTAACACATTGACTTTGTTATTTTCATTTATTAAAACAACACAATGTAAAGTTCAATCACTGTCAAAGTGAAAAAATCCCCCAAGTCTATAGTTTCTTTGCGTACAGTAACTATTAACTAATATACAGTACAATTACTGTATATTAGTTAGTTACTGTATATTAGGGCATAGATACGTTCTATAAGTTTTATCTTTGTTGATTTAAAAGTCTACAATGGAATTATTTCAGGAGACGTTTAAAAGCTATAACCTTAATTATGTTGCTAACAGGAAAATATGATTTAGCGATTCGTTTTAAATTGGGCCCTACAATTCAACTCCATAAGAGTTCTCATTATTATTTACGATGGATCATTGATTGCTATGTATCACGTTTCAAATATTCCACAGATAACATTAGTCTACAAAATATTCATTGCAACGAACAGAACATTTTAAAGGGGAGCTAAAATGTTGGCTAAAATGTCTTTACTGCGAAACTTCCAGATAGTGAAGAAAGTCACTAGTAGCCGGAGGCATTGTTTTTATTTAAAAAATAATAATAATAACAATTTCGCTATTACCTGCTAATTCTGGTTAACGAATTATTTCGATTTCCTAAAGATCCAATAGAAAGAGAAACTAAAGCAATTTCAGTTTCGTTTTATTAAATGATTGATACATTTTCAATATTTGGAAACAAGGAGCCGGTTTATGACAATAACAATGTGAATAATGAAATTATACAACAGATATCAAAGATATACAGTATGTATTGTATTAATCGCAAATTTCAAAAGTTATATTGAAAATGGAAAATTAATATTAGAAACATATTTAAAAATAATATTATCTGTTCACGTAAATTAAATATTCAGAGCAGATAGTTATGCATTTTTTTAAAACCGAATATTTTTTAACGTTCTTCTTAAATTTACTATTAATACAACATATATTGCGCCAAAGTAAACATAATGAAACTGACTTATGAAATTTAAAAATAGATTTTTTTCCTATAAAATGTAATAATTATGTATCATTTCTCATAATCTAGATCAGTGTTTCTCAACGGGGGCGATATCGCCCCATCTGGGCGATTAGTAACAATTTATATTTTGAGAGGCGAAAAACAATTTTCTGGGTGATATAGTAAAACATTATATTAAGAATAATTAGATATTTTATTCGTTATGTCGTACAATAATTAAACAAATAACATTATACTAGTCACTAGTCTATTCAATGCAGTACGAATTTGGCATTAGCCTTGGCCCTCGGCATCGGAATTTTGAAGTGAAGGGAGCGATACTACGTAACGGTTTTATTGAAGGGGCGACGATTCGTTACAGGTTGAAAAACACTGATCTAGATCAAACTATGTTGTTAATAATTATACTTATGACATCGTGCCGTATTTAGTTTTTTATACTATGTACTGTACAGACACTCAGCTTATGTACTAAAATTAATCTATAAATTTAATCTTATTAATACGCACATACACATATACAGTATATATATATTACACGATATACCCATTTATTGAAAAGTTTAACAAACGATTTATGCAAAAATGTAATTATTTAAAAAATCTAAAATAAATTTACAATAGTAATGAACTCAATCTCACATTAATGAATTATTAACGAAGATTACAATAAAAAATGGCTCCAACATCGTCTCACATACCAGTTCCATCGCATGCTAAAATGAAAGTTAAGCTGTTTTACAAGATTTATTATTCCGTTGCTTCTGGTACTGTATATGTATTCGAAACTTATACAGACAGAAGCAATTTATACAGCTGAGTTTATAAAACTCATAGATATGCTCTTGATACTTGTAATTTATCTAATTTATATACGAGTAATTACAGAAAACCAATAACTACTACATTAATGAAACCGATCGTTAAAAACTGCATTTTTAAAATAGCGACAACTATATTGTATTTTGCAAGAATTAAATACTGTATATAGACCTACTCAGTGAGTAATGTTACGTGTACTGTACAGATATTTTAAATGAAAATTGTTTTTTATATCGTTGATAACGCATCAATAAATACTGATTTATTATCTGATAATGCACATTATTTCGATTTATGTTGCTAGATATTTTAAAATAAACATAATTACTACCACGCCAACAATTGTAGTTGATTCGTCAGCCATGTTTCCTTCCCTTGAACAAGCTTCTCACAGTTTAAAACCATTTATGATTTTAATTTTGGTAATAAATTAACAAAACCATCGAAAATAACATTTTCTTTTTTTAAAATATGTAACGTAATTATTTAAGAATTATTTTTTGATATACCATTACCAGAAAAACAGGAAGATACTAACGAAAATTATTTTTAAAAAATCCGATAAAATTATGTAATTCAAAACACACAGAAGCATTTGTTTCAATAGAAGCTTTATTAAAATTATTTTCTGAAAGCAAAATCTTATAATAAAACTTTATAAAATATTATTAAATATTCATATTGTACATTCATATTGTATTTTACATAACAGATAAATGACGCAATTGTAACATATTTAATATTTTTCATAATAATAAAATATATTTTAAAATTTGTTGTCAATTATTTTTATTACTTTGCTACTAATTCCATCGTTACTAATAACGAAATAAAAAGTATAATTTATTTACACACGAAGAATAAAAGCCGTATAATTAGAAAAATAAAGTGCAAAACTAATTTTGAAAAAGACACGAGTTTCATTTATAATGCTTTGTCATACGATCACTAGATGGCGTTTCTAGAAACTTTGACTAGTTATGGGAAGAGTTTTGTAAATATCGATATGTCGATATATAGATAACCCACAAAGCCGATAAAGATATTATCTAATATCATCGCAAAATATCGATATATCGAACTAACCTGGGAATTTGACTAATAGGGTTAATATTTCGCCTTGCAGGTTCAAAAATCATAACAGGGAAAGGGATCTTATAAAGGTATACGTAAGTGAAATACTCGTGCGAAGATAATTACGTAATATTTCCACACTTTACTTTTAACAGCGTGGAAATCCAACCCAGCAATACTGTAATTTATTGGATCCCAAAACCTGCACTTTAGATATGAAAGCTGTACAAAAAATAAAAAAGTTAATGTATTCAGAAATTACCAAATACATGCAAATGCAGTATGCAATTTGTTTGTTTGTTTATTATTTTTATGATCTTACTCGATACGTTCCAAACTCTGCATTACGTAGCCTGCTAACTTAGTACGTTGTAACAAATCATTTTTCGGAGAGGAAAGATAAAAACGTTAGCTTTGAAAGGATTGAGGTGGCGAGCTTGTTTCGTATCGACGTCATAATGAGACCCACATTCGAAAACACTTTCCAACGGAACAGAGCTTCTTGGGATACAGTAATAATGGTCTGCTAACTTCTTCGTGTTGGGAATACGGCAGACAAATGTTCCCATTCTTTTAAGGGGCAGCATTTACGGTCTATCAAATTTTGATTTAATCGGGTAATCTGCAAGATACCCGAGTCTCTTTGAGTTTCAATGTCTGTCTGCTTTGAGCTAGATTGGTGTGGAAGCTCCAGATATTGTCACTGTTAACAATCTGTACTACCCTATCGTGTAACTGGTGCTCATCCCCTTCTTTACTTGTTCTCGCAACATCTTTTAGGGCCTCATTGATAGAGACATTGCCTGTGAACAAGCTACTGGTGAATCAAAATGCAGCCTTTTAAATCGCGTATCAAATATCCTAGAAATAGCTAGCAACTGGTTGGTTTCGGCATCCTTAACCTTTTAATTTTGTTTGGGAGCATACAGTACTTCAAAAAAATTAAGACACAGGAACTTACGGAGCCCGACAATCTAGTATATCGAATATCGTTAACACCAAATAACCCGACAATATACAGCTCGAAACTCCCGAAACGTGAAGACATAAAACATACCAAAAAAATGGGTTTGAGGTAAATCTCTTCCTTTCTTTCCCTCTAGGCAGAAAACAGTTCGAAAAATTCCGTTAATCTTCACACTGACTTGGTTGCACAGTCTTTACTTTTCCACGCAATTTCACCACCACCACTACTTTGCTTCTTCCCCCTCCTCTCCTTACTTCCGTTCTGGCCTCTCCTCGAGACACACCCTCCAATAAAACACTTACCCTCGGTCACACACCCCGGAATTACACAACTCCTCTCCACTGAGTCGGACCCACCACGTGGCAATAGTAGAGAAAACCTGAAAAGTTTTCTCTACTGTTTCTAAAGGCGTTCTGACAGCTGTGGCTTTGGTCATACAACTTATCATTGGCAGTACAGAACTAAATTCTTACATGAAGGATGTATGCAGAAATCATACGAGGTGCACTGTGAAAACTTAGTAATACTGCGCTTA